GATGGCTCATATGAAAAAAGAGAAATGTAGGTGTTTTTCAAGACCAAGTCTTTTCCAGCACTTCGGGAGCCTGAGGCAGGAGGATGGTAAGTCTGAGTCTTAGCTGAGTGATGTAGCAACTTGGTGAGACCCTGTCTGAAAATTTAAAAAGTAAAAAGACTGAGTTAGAGCTCAGTTGATTTCCCTGGGAAGGTGGAAAGTTCAAAGCGGTACAGACATTTTGGGTTTTTTTCTTCTTTCTTCTGTGCTACTGAGGGTTGAACCCAGAGCCATCACCTTGAGCTACATTCCCAGCCCTTTCCTATTTTTCAGTTTTGAAACAGGGTCTCACTAGATCATGAAGTTACCCAGGCTGGGTTTGAACCTGCAGTCCTCCTGCCTCAGCCTCCTACAGTGCTGGGATTACAGGTGTGTGCCTCTGCACCCAGCTCACATAGTAAATATCGTAGGCTTTGTGGGCCCTACAGCCTCCATGACAACTACCAACTCTGCTTTTGCAGCCAAGCAGCAGCCACAGACACAGAAATGAGTGCATGATTATGTTCCAATAAAACTTTATGAACACTGAAATACTGAGCTCTATACATTCACGTATTGCAGAAGATGTCCCTCTTTTGATTTTTTTCCCTCCAGCTAAAAAAAGGGAAATCCTTTTTTGCAGTGGTTCACACTGCAGTGGTTCACACCTGTAGTCCCAGCACTCTGGAAGGCTGAGTCAGGAGGACCACAAGTTGGATCACAAGCTAGGGGACTCAGTGACTTAGTGAGCCCTGCCTTAAAATACACTAGAGCTGGGGATGGAGCTCAGTTCAAAGCCCCTGGGTTCAATCTCCAGTACCAGAAAAAAAAAGTGCATATGAGAAACGGTTTGTCGGGGCTGAGGATATAGCTCAGTGGACAAGTGCCTGCTTGGCAAGTGCAAGGTCTTGAGTTCGATTCCCGGTACCAGATTTGTGGAAGAAGCCAGATATAAGAGCAGACACCCAGCAATCCCCTCTGCACAGGTCACAGGAATTCTTCACCCACCAGGTCCCCCAGCTGTTACCACGATGGCCCTAGAGGAAGGGACAGAGATCCAGGGACCACCCACCTGCTGTAGAATGAGGTGAAAACAGCATCCATCCACCTTGGATCTGCAAAGAAAGAACGTCTCCCCCTCCCGCCACAGGGGGGAGTTTCACCTGCGGAGCTTCCAGCCCCTAGATGACACCAGTTAACCACAAGTGGTTCTCCAAAGGCCATCGCCACGGTGTCAGAGTGACCTGGCAGCAAGTGAGGCTCAAGGAGGGTTCCGTGGTGCACACCTGTGATCCCAGCTCTTGGGAAGCTGAAGGAGGAGGATCTTGAGTTGGAGTCCAGCCTGTTGCTTAGTGCAGCTCTTATCAAAAAAAGATTACTGGGTCTTTGTGATAAGGTTGTGCTTGCCTTTGCGCAGAATCATGAAGCCAGAATCCCATCTAACCAACTCCTTTTTCCGACTTCACAGATGACTCTGCTCCTGGGGAAAACATCCGGGGAAAGGTGGTGCATGTTGGCTGGATCGGGGAAAGTATGGCAGCGTTGCAGACAATGGGGGAAATGGCTGGGATATGGGGACAGGGAGATGGGGTGGAGGGGAAGGAAGATCACAGCTTTGAGGGCAGCCTGGCAGTTTAGTGAGACTCTGCCTCAAAATAAAATTTACAGAAGGGCCAGAGGTATGGCAGTGGTAGAGTGCTTGAGTGGAAGATACGAGACTCTGGGCTTGATCCCCAGTATAAGAAAGAGAAAGAAAGAGCGGGGTCGGGCATGCTGACGCACACTTGTAATCCCAGCACTCAGGAGGCTGAGGCAGGAGAATCACTGGGAATTTGAGGCCAGCCTGGGCTATATAGTGAGTGTGAGGCTAGCCTGGACTACATAACAAGGTCCTGACTTTAAAAAAGAAAGAAGGGCTGGGGTTTTAGCTCAGTGGTACAGTGCCTGCCTGGCCAGCATGAGGTCCTGAGTTTGATTCCTGGTACAGACATAAAAAAATAAAACTTAAAAAAAGAAAATAGGTAAGTAGATACATGGAGAACTTTTAACTCATACTTTTGATCCATGTGATGATGGTATTGTGGTTAAGTTTCTTAAGTGTGGCCATCTGTCAGCGATAAAATGTGGCCTATTTATAAATAAAATGATTTGACTTTTCAGATTTACTTCACAATAGAGAGTGAGTAATCATAGATTCAGGCAAAACTGGATGAGAAAGAGTGAAAGTCTGGTGAACAGTAGGATATTAACAGTCTCAAAGAACCTACCCACAAGGTACTTAATAATTTCTAAAGAGGAAGTGCTAAGTTTCAAGTGCAGAGGTCTGGCGGCTGCTGCCTCAGCCAAGTGATTTCATTTCTTTTTCTTTTTCTTTTTTTCCGGTACCGGGAATCGAACTCTTGACCTCATGCTTGCCAGGCAGGTGCTGTGCCGCTGAGCTAAATCCCCAGCCCCTCATTTTTTTCCTTTCAACCTTGTCTTTTTTTTTTTTTTTTTTTTTTTTTGCACTGGGACTGCAGTGGATCAAGATTAACACTGCCAATACAGGACTAACCATTGCAGGTACTCCTGATAGGAAACAGTGAGGACACTGATACAAACTCGCAGGGCACGGTGGTGCACACCTGTAATCCCAGCACTTGGCAGGCGGAAGCAGGAGGATTGCAGTGAGTTCTAGGCAAGCCAGAACTACATAGCGAGTCTCAAGGAAAGGAGGAAGAGGAGAATACAGCCTCACTTCTGAGCCCTTTTTTTTGGGGTTTTTTTTTTTTTGAGACAGGGTCTTGCGGGGATTTAGCTCAGCGGCACAGCACCTGCCTGGCAAGTGCAAGGTCGTGAGTTCGATTCCTGGTACCAGAAAAAGACAAAAAACAAACAAACTGTGAGACAGGGTCTTGCTATGTTAAGCTCACTGTGTAACCCATGCTGGCCTCAGATTTGTGGCAATTCTCCCGCCTCAGCCTCCCCAATGCTGAGATGACATACATGCCCCACAATGCCCAGTTCTGAGGCCTTCTTGCCAAAAACACACAGTATACTCTGCCATAAGGTAGAATAAATTTGGGGTGTTTTTGGGTAAATGGATGCATCTTGAGACCATAATGTTAAGTGAAATAAATCAGACACACAGTTTGTATATTACATGGTTTTATCTTAACTGAGAAACCCAAAATATAAAGAGCAAAATGATAGATAATAGGAAAGAGGAAGATAGAGCTTTCTCAAAGGGGAGAGGGGCCAAGAGAGAGAAGAAGGGTGGAGGGAAGGGACGGAGGGAGAGGATAAAGAATTAATATGTATTATGTACTCGTACCAGCTCCCCCCACTGAGTGCTAGCATTATGCACTGGAAATATATACTCATAAAAATAAAGTTTTAAAATGCTTAGTATTGGGGCTGGGGATTTAGCTCAGCGGCACAGTGCCTGCCTGGCAAGCATGAGTTTGATTCCTGGTACCAGAAAAAAAACCAAAAACAAAAAATGCTTAGTATGGATCTAGCAGTAAGGAAATACCACACTCTCAAGTTGAAGGATATTCTACCAAATAGCTAATCTCTATTTCTAAAAGTGTCAAAGGTGCTAGGGCTGTAGTTCAGTGGCACAGCACCTGCCTGGCAAATGTGAGGTCCTGAGTTCGATTCCTAGTACAGAAAAAAAAAAAGAAAGAAATGTCAAGATCATGAAAGACAAAGGAGCAGGAACTGTTGCAATTGAAAGAGACTAAAGAAAACACTGAATGCAGCAAATGATCTGGGATTTTTTTCTTCTTCTTCTTTAAAATTCAGTAATGAGACAGTTGATAAAATGTGATTACCGTTTGTCACCTTCCAGCTTCTGATTTTGCTGAGGGTATATGAAAGAATGCCTTGTTCCCAGGAAGCTCAATGAAATATTTACATCAATGGGCTGATGGATGCACAAGAGTTCATAGATAAATGGGCGGCTGAATGAGTCAAAGTATGAATGAATTCACACACGGATGCCTGTATGAATGGACAGATAAGTGGATGGATGAATGGAAGGCTAGATGGACAGATAGGAGCTCGAACTGCTAATGAGTGGGCAACCATTATTCTTGCCAGGACTAAATTCCTCTAAAGCCACTTTTTTTGTGGGAGAGAAATCATCTTATCTCATTTAAAACATGAAGGTGGGTGTGATGGTGCATGTCTGTAATCCTAGTACTTGGGAGGCCGAGGCAGGAGGATCACTGTAAGTTCGAGGCCAGCCTGGGCTGGATAGTAAATTCAAGGTGAGCAGGAACTACACAGTGAGACTGTCTCAAAAACAAACAAACAAACAACAACAACAACAAATGTTTAAGCCATGAAGATTTTTGTATCTATTATTGTTTGCAGCTCGGTGTAATCTTTTTTTGTTTTGTATTTTGTCCTTTTTGAGACAGGGTCTCGCTATGCAGGTTCAGGCTGGCCTTGAGCTTACTCTGTAGCCCAGGCTGGTCTCGAACTCATAATGATCCTCCTGCCTCAGCCTCCCGAGTGCTGGAATTACAGGTGTGTGCCACCATGCCCAGGGTTTTTTTCTTTTTGGTACTGGGAATTGAACTCATGACCTCACGCTTGCCAGGCAGGCACTGTGCCACTGAGCGACATCCAAGCCCCAGTCTTAATATCATTATTAAAAGAAATAACCCCTTCAGTGTCATGGTGCACACATGTAATCCCAGCACTGTGGGAGGCTGAGGCAGCAAGGTTGCATTTGGGCGGGGGGGAGTATCAGAAATTGAACTCAGGACCCCATGCTCGCCAGGCAGGCGCTGTGCCGTTGAGCTATCTCCCCAGTAAGGTCGCATGTTTGACCCCAGCCTGGACAATGTAGTGACTTAGCCGCACCCTGTCTCAAAATAAAAAGTAAAAGGGAGTAGAGATACAGCTCAGTGTGAAGGCCCTAGGTTCCATCCCCAGTACCACAAAAAAATTAAATAATTTTTAAACTTCAGTCTCTGGGTCATGCTAAGCACCACCTCAAGGGACCAGGGAATCTAGTATGTTTTTCCAAAAAAGTCTTAGGACTACATTGTTGTCATTTTTTTTCCTCCTTCTTTTTTGGAATGTGGTACTAGGGAGTGAACCTAGTGCCCTCCCAGAACCAGATTCCTAACCCTTTTATAATTTCTTTTTGAGACAGAGTCTTGCTAAATTGGTAAATTGTCCAGGCTGGACTTGAACTTGCAATCCTCCTGCCTCAGCCTCCCAGAGTACTAGGATAACAGGCACATGCTAAGACGCCCCAGCTAAAGGCTGCGTGGGTTCCCCATGATACTGATGTTCCCTAAGAGCCACCACCCTCCCTAATGACAAACTGGGTGGAAATCTTCCTGTTTCCTGTAACTTGGTCCCTTCCCTTTTCTCTCCTAAGATTTGAAAGCTGCCAACAAATCAGATCTTCGTAGCAGGATGCAGGAGGATCCGATTGCAGTCTTTAAGGACTGGGTGGGTTCAAGCAACCTCCACTCACATGGTTGTGTTATTTGATCACTCTGTGCTTATTTCCTTCCTTCTGGAAGTGCTGATAATAGTGACTACCCTATAGAGTTATTCTGAGGACCCCATGAATTGCAAACCCCACTGGGCTCTAATTTGAAATCCTCCTGCCTCAGCCTCCCAGAGTGCTGGGATATAGGTGTGCACTGCCACACCTGCCTCTGCACTGACTCTTTTACTATTAGAGTTTGCCTTGTCTCTGAAAGGCTATCAAATGAACCTGGGCCACTTGTTACAGAGATTTTTCTCTGCCTCACTATCTCCACTATCACCTGCACCCCCAAACTGCTGCTTTCCCTATTTTGTTTTCTCCTTAGTTTGCTTTGCTTTGTCCGCTTGTTTTTTTTTGTTTTTGTTTTTTGTTTTTTTTTTTTGGTACTGGGAATCGAACTCAGGACCTTGTTCTTTCCAGGCAGGCACTTGTGCCGCTGAGCTATATTCCCAGCCACATTTGTTCACTTGCTTGATTTCTTCTCTTACCGTCTTTTCTTTTTTTGCAGTATCAGGGATTGAACCCAGGGCCTCAAGCATGCTAGGCCAAAGCTCTGCTACTAGTTGGGTATAGTGGCACAGGCCTCTAATCCCAGCACTCTGGGAGGCTGAAGCAGGAAGACTGCAAGTTCAAGGCCAGCCTGGGCAACTTAGCAATTTAGAGAGACCCTGTCTCAAAGTAAAATGTTGAAAAGGGCTAGAAATGTAGCTCATTGTAAAGACTCTGGGTTTGATCCCCAGCACCACAAAAGAGAGAGCGAGAGACACAGAAAGAGACCGATGCCCCAGTTCCCGCGTCAGTACTTAACACTCATTACAATAGCGATCGTCTGTGTCAGGCGTGGTGGTGCACAACCGTCATCCCAGCCGTTGGGAGACCGCGGCAGGAGGATCGCTTAGAGTTCGAGGCCAGCCTGGACTACATAGCAAAACCCTGATGCGACCAAAGCAAAATTAAAATATAATTAAATAAGGGAGGGGGTGGAGGAAGCACGTGAGTATTTGGGGAAAGTTTGCTGACTCCGGCCTTCCCCAACCCCACTGCCCCCAATCCAGGGAGGGCTGCAGGAGGGGAATTCCGCTGAGGGCTGCAGGCCTAGGCCTCTGTCTGCCTCTGCCTCCTTTCCCACCCTCTGCCCTCCTGAGCGGGTACTGGTGAGTGGGGCCCCACTTTGGGGGCCTGGAATTCCCCCATCAAATTCTAGACCTGTCTTCAAAAGAGCCAGTTGGGCAGGCATGAAGGTGCACACCTGGAACCCCCCCGCACACAGGAAGCTGAGGCAAGAGGGTCTCTCTGAGTCTGAGGCCAGCCTGAATTACATAGGGTTTCTCCCTATAAGGTCTGTGCTGCTCTCTCCATGGCAAAGAGGGAGATCAGGCTTCTCTGGAGCAGTGACCAGCCTGCTGAGTTCAAATCAGGATTCCCTGACTAAAGGCTGGTGACCCTGAACAGTTTGCTTAACCTCTCTGAACCCGTATCTCTGTTAGTTTATAATTACTGTACTTCCTGAAAGGCCTTATTTTTCTGTGGTGCTGGGGATCGAATCCAGGGCCTTGTCCATGCAGGCCCTTTTTAAAAGAAAGCAGAGAGACTGCAGGCCTCACGAATCCCTCAGAGGAGCCAGACAGTGTTGGCAGCTGCGCAAGGAGAAGAGGGTTCTAGATTGAGCCCCATTTTCTCAGAAGCCACTACGAGCCAGGCGTGGATCTGCACGCTCTTCATCCTAGCACTCTGGGAGGCTGAGGCAGGAAGATTGCAAATCGGAGCCCATCCTGGGCAACTTAGTGACTAAGTGAGGCCCGATCTCAAAATAAAAAATAAAAATTGGTTAGGGATGGAGCCCTGGGCTCACTGCAGCTCCTGCTCTGGCAGGGCTGAAGGTGGGCCAGGGCTGTGGAATGGGGGAAGAGCGATCTTCAGCCCCCAAAGATACAACCAACACAGAAAGAGAAATTGAACCCTTTATTGGCTCAGGCTTGGGCTTGGGGGCGGTCTGGGGAGCTCTTGAGGGGTACAAGGCCCTGATTGGCTCCTGATTGGCTCCCAGACGCCCCTGGCCCCAGCCTCTGCATTCACGAGACATTGCTTTGAGGAGTGAGGTTTCCCTGCCCGTGAGATGAGCCAGCGATTCCACAGGGGTCCGGGCAGGGCCTGAAGCCCCCAGGCAGTGTCAGTGTGGACAGGGACATGGGGACATAGCACAGCATCCACTCTGGGGGTGTGGGGGTACAGGGAGGTCACACACACATAAATATACTTTGTACCGCAACGGCCCTTCCTTGGGGGCCGGGGAGGGGTCACCCCAGCCCCATTCGGCTCTGGGCTGCCCTGCCTTAGGGGAACCTGGGGCCCAAGCTGGGGGAGACACAGGGTGGAGAGCTTGAGTGGTTTTCGGGGTGGGAATAGGCAGAATCGGCCAAATCGCGCCCAGAAGTTTCTCCTGTCTCACCCTGCCCCATGGGGACCTCCACGGCGCCCCAAACTGGTTTTTCCAGCCCTGGGTGAGTTTTGTGAGTCTCAAATAGGTACGACTGGCCAATGAGGTTCAAGAGTGGAAACGGGGGCCCAGCCCTCCTCCCCATCTCTACCTCGTGGTTTCCTTTCCCAGCAGATGAGAGGAAAGGGAAGAAGTCGCCAGAGGGGCGGCGGGTGCCATTTGGGGAAGCTGTGGACTGCGCCTGGGAGGGCTGGGGAGGGAGCCTCCAGCCCCCAGGAACAGTGGTTCCAAAGAAGTGGCCTAAGACTGTCCACAGAAGGTAGCAGGAATGATAAACTGAGACAGCGGAGCTGGGATAGGGTGGAGGCTCAGACAGGAAAATCTTAAAATCGGGGCTGAGCTTGGTGGCACACGCCTGTCATGCCAGGACTCAGGGAGGCTGAGGCAGGAGGATCCCAAATGCAAGCCCAGTCTGGGCAACTCAGTGACTTAGTGAGACCTCGTCTCAAAAAACTAAGAGGGCTGGAGCTGGGGATAGCAGTGCACACCTGTAATCCCAGCACTTGGGAGGCTGAGGCAGGAGGATCACTGAGACTTGGAAGCCAGCCTGGGCTACTTACCCAGACCATCACCCAACAAAGTTGTGGGGAGACAGGAGAGGGTTACAGGTGTAACTCAGTGTGAACACCCTGGGTTCAAGCCCCGCTACCAAGCACATGCACACATAAGCACGCACACACGGTTGTACCTGGTGGTAAACTGCTCCTACCCTGACCTCCTACTTGCTGTGACCCTAGTCCTTTGACGTTCCCTAGGGTCACCACACTGGCCTCCAGCACTGCACAGCAGCCCTGCCACCTGGCTGCTCCACGGCCTTGCCAGCTACTCTGGCTGTGGGCCTTCTTCGGATCCCCAGGTCCGGGGCGGGGCATCTTGCGTGGCAGCCCCTAACCTCCGTCTGAGGTCGCCAGTCCCTCTCTCTACAGCTCTGTGTCCTGGCCCTTTCCTTCAGACCATTGTGTTGTCCTCCAGAAACGTGGGCGACATGGGCATATGTGTGCCCCTCTCCAGCGAGCTGGAGTTGCGAAGGGGCAGGAGGCGGTGGCCCGGGGTCCTGTCCCGCCGCCCCGCCCCCCTGGCCGCCCGCTGCCAGCACTGCAGTGGCCGCAGCACCTCCCGCCGCAGGTCCCGGCTCCGCCACGTGTAGATGACGGGGTTCAGCAGCGAGTTAAGGGTGGCAAAGGCGAAGAAGTAGTGGGCTTTGTAGAGAACAGGGCAGAAGCGGACAGGACACGCATAGTCTAAGAGCAGGATGCTAAAGGCCGGCAGCCAGCAGGCGATGAAAACGCCCAGCACGATGGTGACCGTCTTGAGCAGCGCCAGCGTCTGCGGGCCGGCCAGATCCGCGTGGCTCGAGCGGACCACGCAGTAGATGCGGACATACAAGGCGACGATGGCCAACAGGATGACAGAAAAGATGGTCACCACGCACAGCACGTACTGCTTGGCGTACAGCGGCAGGACGGTGGAGCAGGTCTCCAGGCGGCCCAGGCAGTTCCAGCCCAGGATGGGGAGGCCGCCGAGGACCAGCGAGATGACCCAGGAGGCCCCGATGAGCAGCAGCATGCGGCAGCTCTTGTCGCTGCCGTACAGCTTGACCTTGGCGATGGCCACGTGCCGCTCGATGGCGATGGCCAGGAGGCTGAAGACAGAGGCAGACAGCGTGATGAAGGCCGAGCCCTCGCGGGCGAACCACTCCACCGGCGTCAGCCTCAGGGTGACGGAGCCGGACAGCAGGGTGTTGGCGATGAAGGCCACGCCTGCCAGGAGGTCGGACGCGGCCAGGTTGCCCAGGAAGAGATACATGGCCGAGTGCAGCTTGCTGTTCCGGCCCACGGCGACCAGCACCAGCAGGTTTTCCACCACGATGGCGCAGCACAGGATGACGATGAAGGCCGAGGCCACCTGGCGGGATGCCGTCTCCTGCACGTCCAGAGTCTCCTTGGTGTAGTTGTAGTGCTCCCGGACCTTGCTGGAACTGAGGTACTCAGAGTAGAAAGCGCCCATGGTGGGGCTCAGTGGCCAGCCGGGGCCATGGAGCTGTCACACTGTGGAGGACAGAGACAGGCAGACAGACAGACAACGCGTCAGAGCTGTGGACGGCCGCCGCCAGCCAACACGGTTGTCGTTCAGATTCCGGCTCCGTGCTGGGCGAAATCCCGGCGCACGCCTGCAGTCCCAGCATTCAGGAGCTGGAGGCAGGAGGATCGCTGCGCGTTTGAGGCCAGTGTGGGCTACACAGCGAGACCAGCTCAAAAGAAGAAAGACAGAAAGTTCTGATTCTGGGACTTCTCACCGAGGCCGCATGAAGTTGGGTGTATCATCTCTTCTTCTTCTTTTTTGTTCAATCCATGGGGACTGAACCCAAGTCTGAACTATATCCCCACCCCACCCTTTTTATTTCTTATTTTGAGACAGAGTCTTGCTAAATTCCCTAAACTGGGCTGGAATCTGGGATCCTCCTGCCTCAGCCTTCCAGAGTGCTGGGATTACAGGCGTGAGGCACCCCTCCTGCTTTACATCTGGCATATCGGGGATATCCATATACTCTTGGAAGTCTCCAGAAAGTGGCAGGGCCAGGGAGACTGGCTCCACTGCCTCTGTTGCCCCTGAGGGGTACTCTTTCAAAGGAACAGACAGACACCCTCCCTCCCCGGAGTGCTCGGAAGGAAAACCCTTGTGGACAGCCTGAAGCAGGCATCTCCTCTCTTCAACACACAGAAGCCTCGGGCCTCATGGAGGCCTGTGACCTAGGTCAGCGAGATCCTTGCCACTGATAGCACGCTGCCCAGTTCATTGCCACCCACTGGCACATTTCAGGCGGGGTAGAAGCCTGGAGGCCCTGGGCACTCCCAAGATAAGAGTGTGGGGAGACACCAGGGCGCCCTGGGGTTCAGGCCTCCCAGCATCACACTATCTTTAAGGACACAGGGCTAGGAGCTGGTGCAGCCTGAGCCTATCCCCACCCCATTCTGGTCCATGGGCAAGGCACTATATACCCAGCCTCTGACCTCAGCACCCTAATCTGTGCAATGGGTACAAGAAAGCCTCCTTCACAAGAGTGACAAGAAAATATTTTGGGGGGATATTGAAACTGAGTCTCACTGTGTAGCCCAGGCTGGCCTCAAACTCACGGTGATCCTCCTGCCTCAGTCTCCTAAGTGCTGAGATCACAGGCCAGGACACCACGCCTGGCTAAAAATAACCTTTTAAAAGATGTGTGAAACCAGAAACCTATAACCCCAGTGCCTGGGAGACTGAGGAGGATCGCTTGAGCCCAGGGCAACATAGCAAGACTCCATTTTTTAAAACAAAAAAACTCGTGAAGAATGCTTAGCACACAGCAAGTAGTAGCTAACGTTATTCTTTTTCCTTTTCCGGACACACAGGGCTCTGGGCTGGGTGCCCTCCACCCAGCCTTTTGGGAGCGGGTGCTGACTAAGTCAACCAAGAGAGACTCCGAACAGCTTGTTCCCATCAGCACCATCTTACTCTGCCCTGGGCCAGAGGGTCCCTGGGGGTGGGCAGGGCGCTGGCACCCCCTCCCGGGCCAGGATGAAATCCAGATGTGTGAGGCCCCTGGAACAAACAGGGTGGAGTCCTAGTCACATCCGCTGTGGGGAAGGCTGGCTGGGGGGAGTGGGGATGGGGGCTCACCAGAGACCCATCTGGGAGGTCCTGGCTGGGGAGATGCAGCAGCTGCGCTGAAGTCACGTGAGCCCTGGGGCGGGAGCAGGGCACCCGCTTCCATGGAAACCTGAGTCACCCACCGCCCCCTTCTCAAGAAAAACTGAGCCGCAGGGGAAGCGGCGGGAGGAGGATTTCGTGGGCCCGGGAAGATGAGGGGCACACACTGGGGCAGCGTGGTGATGGGGTCTCAGAGGAGCCGGATTGGAGGGGTGCAGGGAGGCAGCTCCAGGTCTTAGCTAACCGGGCAGGAAGACGGGGAGTCCCTGGAAGCCCGCCTGGCAAGGACCACGTGTGAGCCCGAAGCAACCGTCCAGAAAAGGCCGGTTGGGCCGGTTCTTGGGGTGTGCCTAGGAGTGCTGGGGCTTCCGGGGTCGCCCAGACATCTCAATTCCCGGACGCCCCCTCTGTCCCCATAGAGGCAGCTGCTCCCTCTAGGCGGAGGGACATCCGTCCTAGTTTGGGAACAGAGAAGAGCTTGTGCATGTCCTCGCGGACAGCTGCCCCGCCCTGATCGCCACACAGAGGTCCCTTGTTCCACTGCCGGACAGGGCCCCGGGCAACTCGATGCCCTCTGCCCGCTGCAGCCAGTCCCAGGCTGGATCGACCTTAACAAACTGGCTGTCGGACCGGAAACAGCCTGCACTCTGATTGGCTCGATTTTCAATACTAGCGCACGGAGCGATTTGCCTATTGGTTGGAGCTTTCCATCCTCAGGCTCTGATTGGTGCAGTTGGGGGCACTCTACGGCTTGTTCCCACCCTCCCTGTTTATAAGCGATGGCGCTCAGCTCTCTTTCAGATACTGGAGTTAAAGCATCGCGGGCTCGGTCCCTGAGGGCCAGGCTGAACCGCTGCCTGACCGCTGGGTCACCCCTTCAGACGCCCCCACGCTGGCCTGAGGCTTAAGCATACAGGTCCCTTCCCAGGCCTGGGAAGCACATTAGCCGGTGGGCAAAAAGCCCAGGATTTGCCTCATCGCCGCCCCCTCTGCAGCTCAGGAGGGGGTCACCGCCCCTCTCCATTTTGGCTTCGGGGACGGGAAAGATTTACTGCCGCTTCCTGGACAAATAAGAAATGTGCTCAGCGCGCACCCCTGAGGGACCAGGCCAGAAAGTGGGTCTTCCTTCCTAAAGGCGAAGACTGTGGGCTCTGACACCCGCGAACCTAAGTAATCGGTAGCAGGAGGGCAGCTCTCTTAGTTCCACAAGGGGAAACTGAGGCCCACCCAGTGTGGCCCTATCTCATCTGCCCTACCAGAACTTTGTCAAGGCAGGAGCTTGGGCAGGTTAACACTTCCCACGGAGGCAGCAGGGCCCAGGCTTCGGGCTGGCAGAAGCAGCGCCCTCCACAGGGTCAGAGGATGGCCTAGTCTGCCTCCCCTCCAGTGCTATACTCTGAGCACCGGCTTCACGCAGAGCCGGGCTCCTGCTCACCTCCCCAGACAGTCCCGGCTTCCGCTCAAAGGTTCAAGAAGCCAGGAGTGGTGCTGCAGGACTGTACTCCCAGCACTCAGGAGGCTGAGGCAGGAGGATGGCAAGTTCCAGCCCAGCCTCTGCTATTGGCTATCAGAGCATGAACTTCATATTGACCCTGCCTTAAAAAAAAAAAAAACTTCAAACAGGACAGAATGGCCAGGCCTGAAATGGAAATGGAAGGTGGGACCAAGGGACAGGGCTTGCACGGGGCAAGAAGACTGAGCACATTTCGGGGGAGATCAGCAGAAGGGAAGGCCAGAGAGAGGCCGGAGGGAGGCTCAGCGGCTTCCCCATCTTCCTTCTCCCTCCTGCTGTAGACAGCCAGACGCTGTGGTCACATCCCACTGGTCACAGTTCCCACTTGTCACCCACAGATCCTCTGGCCCTCGGCAGGACCAGCTCTCTCTTCACTTGTCTTTCTTTTGGTTCCTCCCTGGCTGTCAGCACCTCCCCGCCCCCTTCTCAACCAAGCACTGTGTGGGGGTGTGGCTTTCAAACCTGGAACTCCCTGGGTCACTCCACAGCTCCACAACCTTCCATGGCTCCCTATGCCCCAGTGGTGTGGCTCCTGCCCACCTTGCCTCTGCCCACTCACCTCCCTAGGGCCCGGCCACTCTGACCACAGTAACTTCCTAAAAGCCACCCAGACCCCCACCTCTGAGCCAGGGCCCCTGCTGTTCCTCCACCTGCTCCCTCCTCCTCCCAAAGCCTGCACTGTCTCTCTCCTCTTTGCAGGTTTCTATATAAAGGTCACTTCCCAGAGGGGCCTCCCCGGCCACCAGCCTCCAGCAGCAGCCTCCTCAAACTATTACAGCATCTTGGTTTATTATCTCCACAGCACTTGTCACTATAAAGACCTTATCTTGTCTTCCGTCTGCCTTTCCAATGTATGATGTAAACTGCAGTTGGCCAATGACCAAGTTGTCCTCAACCCTTTCAAGGATGCCTGATGCGAACAAGGCACTCGAACGTGTGTGTGGAGTGGGCGGAGAGATGAACGAACCAAAGAATGAATGAACGATCCAACCGAGGAGACCCTGGGGGGAGGCTCCTCAGGGCCGTCCAGGCTCCAAGAGCAAAGGGGCCAGAGATGCCCGATTCTCCCTGCAGCCCCGGCCCCGCCAAGCCCGGCCCGTCGCCCAGGAGACCGCGGCAGGACCCGCCCCGCCCCGCGCCGCGCCAGCCGCACTTGTGGCCTCCTTATCGGGCCGAAGAATGCGCGGTATCCACACTCGCGCTGGGGTGGCGCCTCCTCGCCCCGAGACCGTCACACGCGCGGGACCCCCACACCGTCGGGGGGGGGCGGGCGACTCCCGCGGACCTCGCCGCGGCGCTCCGCCTCCAGACTCCCGGGGGCCAGAGAGGGCAGGGGAGGGGCCCCAGCGGCAGCGGCTACACCCCCACGTGCCAAAGCCCGCCTGGCGCCACGGGGGGCACCGTGGGCGCGGCAAGTGGCATCTGCCTGACAAGGACAGAGGCGGGGGAGGGGTGGAAATCCCCGGGTGAGTCAACTCGTGCCGGGGGAGGGGGCGAGGCTCGGCCCGGGACTCTGCGGAGCGTGCGACGCCACGCGTGCCTCCCCCACGCGCCATCGCTGGGCTGGCGGGGGGGACGAGAAGGCGCCTGAGCCACGCCGTCCCTCTCCGCTCCTTCCAGAACAGAGCCGCGCCCCAGCAGGGGCGACTGGGGGAGACCAAGCGCTCGGGGAAACCGAGGCACGAAGCTGGGCACGCAGACGGCGAAGGCTGCCCCGCCCGGGGTCTCACCCGGACCCCGCGCTGCAGCGCGCCGCACCTTCGCGCCCCGGGCTCCGCCGGACGCAGCCGGGCGCGGGGTGCAGCGCGCCCCCCCGGGCCCACCCCCGAGCCGGGTCCCACGGCCCGC